TGAAAGGGTTTGCCCTCCCGAGTCCAAACTGTAATTAAATCTCAAATCGGCCATGAGATGGTGGGACTATGAGCTAAAAGTTTGTACTTGAAAAACAAAAACAAACAACAAAAAATTCAAAGCCATTCTAGGTGCTGCGGCTAATAACAGAAGAATAAAATAAAGGCCTACCATTACTAAACAGCAATCTGTAAAAAAGAACTTACTTTTACATGTCAGTGTATAGGCCTATATATAATTCATCAAATACATATTTAGAACTAGATAATAACAGAAGAGTGGAATAAAACAAAGGCCTACCATTGCTGAACATTTCGTCGTCCGACAACTGTCCAACTTTAGCGTAGATGACCCCAAATTTAAAATTTACTGACCCCTGAAAAAAATAAATAAATAAATGTTTCGCAAATATCAATTTTTCTATATAAACTAATCCTCTAGTATCATCAGAACCTCTGCATATCAAAATTTTGGAACTCTTTAAACTTATACAATTTCATTGTTGTTTTTAATTATGCACAAAGCTACACAAGGGCTATCTGTGCTCTGCCCACCACGGGTATCGAAACCCGGTTTCTAGCGTTGTAAGTCCGCAGACATACCGCTGTGCCACTGGGGGGCATATACAATTTCATAAAAATCGAGAAAAATAAAATAAACAGCTATTGCTTTTTACTTTGCCGAATTATATAAAGTAAAGCATTTAATTTTCAAAAGACTTATGACGACAAAACGAACTACGTTTATGACAACTAGAAGGAGAAAAGGGGAATTTTGTGATTAAATATATTATAGGGCTTTTCTACAAAAAGATTTGTAGACGTAAGAAATGGACTATTAATTTGAAGTTTGCTGTCATAGAACTCTCGTATCTAACAGATGACGTTGTGAAAAATAAAAAATGTGCACGAATAGAAATGGCAGGAAGCAGCTGAAAATGTGCGAAAACTAAACATCTAGATTAGGTAACTGAGGAAATTTATCACAATCATCAAGTTAATTTTCAAATTCACTATATGCAGAGACAAATCAAGAAATGGTTACATGTACTGTCAAGTTTACTTTGAAATGCGCTATATGTATTAAAATAACCAGGGAAAAGGCTATAAGTACCATCAAGTTAATTTTCAAATTCATTATATATAAAAACAAATCGAGGTATTTAAGACGTATTATGTATCAAAAATAGAAATAAAAAATCGAGAGAAGGGTAGATAAAAGTTAATTACGTTATATTAAAATAATTTTGAAATTTCACCATGGCGTTACCGTCATGTCGTCACGTCTGGTCATCCTTTAACTGACGACTGGGCAGCTAGACAGTAACCCTGCAGCGTAACTTTCATTGCAAAAGGTTCAATCGTAAGACTGTCATGTCAAAAGCACACCACTCCTCCTTCCATATTTGACATAAGCCACCTAACGTACGAAGACGACGGTTTGTCAGTGAGAAATTTAACAGCCCAATAGTAAATACACATATCCATAGGCACTACGTCTTGTTACTTGATCGGCATGTATTCGTATGAATACCCATTCTATTCTCCAGCTGCCTTAGGTATGCAACGATTAAACTTATACGTTATGGAAGACACTAGTGTAGCTCTGATTTTTATCACTTTTGACGTCGATCCTTCTTGATTATTTTATATATTATTGTTTAGGACACATTTATACCATTTTTTGTCATTAACCTTTGTGTTCGTGGGTTCTCACTTTTAGCAAGACAGCTGGGGTTCGACTTATTGCAGATCTTCTTTCTGGATGGTCCTGGTACTCCAAGTTGATCCATGCCACTAGCCACAAGGTCTTGGAAATTCTAAATTCACGGCATCTTTATGACCTGAGTATATGAACATTTTGCATAGGAAAAGGCTGTTAAATGCCCTTCCTAAAAGCGATCAGTTTTGGTGGCATTACACGCACTACCTAAGAAACGCTAAACAATGTCAAAATATAGTTTAGATACATCGGCTGCATATTCTAAATTAATTTAATACAACATACTCAACCCTCTGTATATACGATCTTCAAGCTATTTTCAATTATGTTTGGAGTAATTATTTTTAGTGAATTTGGTTCTGGATGAGAACACTATTCAAGTCACTTTATCAAGTGCTTTTGAGCACAGAGTATAGAGATGTAGAGTAACATAGAAGTGATATAATCTGTAAGCCACTTTTTAAATTTTAAGTGAGTTTGTTTGTTTCTTTTTTAAATTTCGAGCAAAGCTACACGAGGGCTATCTGCGCTAGCTGTCCCTAATTTAGCAGTGTAAGACTAGAGAGAAGGCTGCTAGTCATCAACACCCACCACAAACTTTTGGGCTACTCTTTTACCAACGGACAGTGGTATTGACCGTTATTTAATACGTAATACACAACCCATATATGTATTTCTATATCTTTATACATAATACACAACCTATATACATGTATCTTTATATCTTTATACATAATACACAACCCATATGCATGTATCTTTATACATAATACACAACCCATATATGTATCTCTATATCTTTATACATAATACACAACCCATATGCATGTATCTTTATATCTTTATAGAGAATACACAACCCATATATGTGTATCTTTATAGATAATACACAACCCATATATGTGTACCTTTATAGATAATACACAACCCATATATGTATCTCTATATCTTTATACATAATACCCAACCTATATACATATATCTTTATACATAATACACAACCCATGTACATGTATCTTTATATCTTTATACATAATACCCAACCTATATACATATATCTTTATACATAATACACAACCCATATACATGTATCTTTATATCTTTATATATAATACATATCCCATATATTTATCTTTATGAATGTACAGTACACAACCCATAGATTTATCTATATGCATATATAGTACACAACTAATGTATATATATCTATATATATAAACGAGGAAGTTTGTTTATTTGTTCGCTATAGGAAACCAAACGGTTGAACTTACAAATTTTAAAATAAACATTTTTTTACAAGAAATTTGATGGTGCTATTTATTTTGTATTTGGAGTAGCATTTAATGACGAAATTGACAATTAATTATTATTGCGCCATTTTTTTATAATAAACATACAAGCATAAGCACGTTTTGTACATAGAAACCGTTATGGCGGGAGACACTCAGATCACCTTGCTGTCAATTCAGTATTTCCAAAAACAGTTTTCTTTAAATAGTGCTAAGTAGTTTCATAAGTGATTTAGTAACTTTGTGAATTGCAAATTATTGTTTAATGATACAGGTGATTATGACATCCAAGAAACGCCCTTTCTATGGAAAGTCTTCTGCCGCTAAAAGAATGCAAGCACAAAGAGCAGCTGGAACAGAAGAAGAACGCAATCAAAGACTTCAAGCACAAGCTGCAAGACAGGTTGCTCAAATACAGGAATAGACTTTGGAAGAACGTAAAGTTAGATTTCGAGCTCAAGCTGAAAGGCAGGCTACTCAAAGACAGCAAGAAACTGCTGAATAGCACAAAGCCAGAGTTCAGTCAGAATCATCAAGGCAAGCTGGATATAGACAACAAGAAACTTCCGAACAACGTCAAACCAGACTTCAAG